TGGTGCCGGTGCCGGGCGCCTCTCCCGGGCGGGTTCCGCTGCCCCAGCGCCCGCTCACCTGTGCCCGAAGAGCCGCAGCCCCGGGAAGCGCCGCTTGCTGAGGCGCCGCAGTGCCTTGTCCGGTTCGGGACCCGCGTCGCGCTCGGAGCCGCTGGACGAGGCGGAGGCCGACTCGGAGTCGCTGCTCCGGGCCTCGGGGCTGCCGTCCCGCGGCTCCATCCGGCCCTAGCCCCGGCCGGCGGCGGGCCCGCGGGAGACGCCCATGCCGGGCCGGCGGCCGGGCTCAGCACGCCCGCCCCGCGCCGCGCGCCCCCGCACTCCACGTCCAGGTGCTCGGGAAGCGGCCGCCGCCGCCGCTCCAGGAAGTGCCGCCAGCCGCGGCCGCAGGACCCCGCATAGCTGGCCGGGCCGCTGCCTGCCGGCCGCCGAGCACGCCCCCTCGGCCCGCGGCGGCACCGGCCCACAGCGCCCTCTGCCGGCCGAGGCCCGCCAGGAGTCGGGGCGGAGCTTGGGGTGGGCGGGGTCAGCGAGGGCCGGCCCTGGGCCGCCGGGATGGGAAGATTTCCTGGTCTGACTCTGGCTACGTTCTCCCGATGCAATCTGGTTTGACTCCGGCTACGCTCTCCCGATGCAATCTGGTCCTCCCCTTAGCCTTTCCCCACGAACGACCTGTGTCGCCCAAGTGCACACCGCGAGGGCAGCTGTCATCACCTCCCCTCCCACGTCCGCAAGGAATCTACTGCTCTCTCGCACACCCTGCGCCCACGCAGTCCCTGGGCCAGACTCCACCTTGCTCAGTTCCCACTCACGCAGCAAGGTCGGACAATGCTCCCCACGCACACACAGACGCACACGTCCCACCCCAGCCTCCAACAGTCAGCGACCAATGTCATCTACGGTCTCACAAACACCCACCAAAAAGTGGCACGTTTCTCAAAGTCATCCTTTTGTCACGCCTCATTCCCGACACGTGGGCGTTTCCTGACACATTGTCCAAGGGCTCCTTCTGATCTTATACCTGAAGAATGACCTGCACGCCTCATACACATTCAAATACACACTTGGTTTTTTGAGACAGGATCTTAACTGTATAGCCTGAGCTGACCGAGAACTGGTGGCGATCCTCCTGCCTCAACCTCTCAAGTGCTGGGGCTGGAGGTGTGCACCACCACGCCCACTTCAGATACACACACATAAGGACAACAGTTACCGTACACACACACATCCCCATAGGACAAGCACACTGGCTCCTGCACACAGTAGCCCCTAGACCGTGGTTATAGGACCCCTCTCCTTACACACACGTCCAGAAATTTTCCTCAAATGCACACCCAAACACCTACCCCCCAGGCAGCTGGGTTGTCCTTCTCTAGAAACAAGAGAAGTTGGAACCAGAACCATTGCCGTTGGGAACGTGGCCCTCGGAACACTCGGCAATCTGCACCCAGTCTCTGAGAACCCCTTCAAGCTGAGAGGGCCAGGAAGCCAGGGCCGTGGTATTCCTCTTCCCCAAACCCTGCCACCCTGATGCCAGCCCAGTGCCTGGTGTCTCCGTTTGCAATCTTCTGCAAAGCCACATCCTGTGTTACCTTCACTTTCACCCTCCCCTTTAGGGTTCTGGCAGCCCATTTTCCAGACTGGGTCAGCCACAGAGAGCCTGGTGGGTGGGGGAAGAGCCGGGGCCCATGGGGCTTGCCAGCAAGCCTGTGACCCAGAGATCACCACCACCAGAGGCCAAGTCCTGCTCCTTCCCTGCTAGTCACTTGTGGGCCCAGAGAAGTGGCTGAGTGGCGAGGAGGGTGGCCCTGCCTTTCAGCCAGCAGCTGGGGCCAGGCTGGTGGGAGGAGGGCAGAGAAATCCCTACAGGGCCTGACTCTGGCCTCTGGAGTGAGTGGGTCTCCTGGGGAGGCCTCCCAGTGGCTCCCACACCAAGACTGGTGGGAAGAGTTCAGAGGTCCTGAAGCCTTTATGTATCCTTGCACCAGTTTGGAAACTGTCAGTGTGACTGCTACTCTCCTTGGAGTGGGAGTCCCCTCCCCAGATCCCTCTTCAGTTAGTGAGCTCAGCCCTCCACCACACAGCCCACTGTCATAGCTCCCTTCACTCCTCCAGGAGCTCCCCTGAGTCCTCCTGGGCCTGCACAGAGCTGCCGCATAACAAATCAGAAGCCCCACTTCTGCCCCCCATTCCCGAAAAAAAGGTTCAAGTCCTCAGCAAAATGAAGTCCCCATGCCCAGCCCCAGCCCCCCTTATGTCTGTCACGTACTGTGTCTGCAGGGCCTCGGCTGGGATCTGTGGCACGTCCCAGGAGCGGTAGCGCCACATCTGCCTCAGTGTCCCGGGCAGCTCCCGTGCTTCTGTCCCCAGCGCCTCCGCGGGCCCCAGAGCTGCGGCTGCATCGCGGTCTCCCTCGGCACTGTGGCCAGCCCCCAGCGCGCTCATCCTGCCCAGCAATTCTCTTCCTCTTTCGGCACTTCCTGACCTGGGGGGGCCCTGCTAGAGGCCGGCCAGCGGCCCGAGCAGGGGACCTCGGGGCTCTGAGGCGCCTTCCGCTGGCTGGGGCAGGAGGCGGCTGGGGCAAGACTACATGGGAGGGCAAGGGGCAGGTGGGGACAAGCCCGGCCCAACAGCCAGGAGACTGCTCCAGAGTCAGAAGCTGCCAGGCAGCCACCGGGCCTGTCTGGGCTGGGCTCTGCACTGGGGCTCAGTCTGGCTTTTCTCTGCACTGAACCTTTGTGTTTATCTTCTTCTTTCTTTCTTTCTCTTTTTTTTGGAGACAGGGTCCCAGTATGTAGGGCAGGCTGACCTCCAACTCACAGCAGTTCTCCTGCATCAGCCTCCCAAATGCTGGCATCACAGGCATGCTCCACCACAAGACCTTTGCAAGTGACAATCTCCCATATGGCTGGGGATGTCCACACACACACTGCTTTCTCACCTTAGCACCTCTACGTGTGTCACACCATCCAACACAGGACTGAGCACACAGAACAGTGGAGTTGTGAAAAGAAACAGGATGGAACTCAAAGGCAGGAGCTCACATTGTTTTTCTCCATTCCCTGCTGTGTGGTCATAAACCTCTCTAAGTCACTTTACGTTGTTTCTGGAATAAGGTCGTGTATAAACCCATAAAATAATGAATTCCTGTCTCGGGGGTATTCTGAGCTTCAGTTTCCTCATCTGTAAAATGGAACAATAATACAAACTTGTGCAAGTATATGTCGATGAAATAAGAGGCATGGGCTGGGTGTAGTGGTGCACGCCTGCAATCCCAGCATTCAGGAGGCTGAGGCAGGAGGACTGCTGAGAGTTTGAGGCCACTATGGGGTATATAGTGAGTTTAAGGCCAGCCCAGGCTACACAGAGAGAACGTATCTTTTATTTTTAAAGGACAAAAAGACTTACAAGTTGTACAATTAATACTTATGAAGTTTGAGGCTAACCTGAGCAGCTTAGTGAGACCCTGTCTCAAAATGAAATAGAGAGGTGCGGGATGTAGCTCAGTAGCAGAGAGACTGCCCAGCCAAATGAAGGCGGTTAGGGTATAAGGAAGGGGTCCAGGAGGTCTGAGGAAAGGCATTTGAGAACAGGACTACGTGAATCAAGACAACCGACCACGGGACGAACTGAGAGAAGTCAGGGAACAGAATTGACTGGGGGGGGGGGGGTCCGGGGACAGGGGAGTAGCAGACCAGGGTGACCACAGAGCAGGAGCCAGGCAATGTGACGAGAGGTGGCCTGACTGCACTGGGGCTTGGGGCCACTGCAAGTCCAGGGAGGGGACCCATTCTTCCTCTTTATTCTTGAGTCATTTCTGGGGAGCAGAGCGTTCCCCAAACGCTCAAGCGCCTCACTCCAGAATTTTTTTTTTTTTTTTTGCCCCATTCTAGAATTAACTCTTCGCTTGTGTGTGTGTTGGGTGCTTCAGCAATGCAGGAAATTTCAGTGTCAGCGGAGTTTCACAAACATTTACGCTACAGAGCCTGCAGACTCAGTGTCCTCCCCCAACCCTTAGATGCCTCCATCTGCTTCGGAATCACCTTCGTGTCCCGAGTGACTGGAATGGAACATTTCTCAGTAGCTTGTTTCATAAGTGCATGCTGTGTGATGAATAATTAATACTCAGCCACAATAAACAATAGTTAATATTGCTTGGACACTTCTGTGCCAGCTCTTTACTGAATGTATAATTAGCCCATCCAATGTTTTAGTAACCCCAGGAGGTAGAGTTTGTTATTTTCCTCCCATTACATGGGGAAACTGAGGCATAGAGCCAGAAAGCTTCCTAGTTTTTTTTTTTTTTTTTTGGTGGTGGTAGGAATTGAACTCAGGGTCTTGGGTAAGCCAGGCAAGACCACTGCACCTGAGCTATAGCCCCAGCTCTAGGATTAAGAATCTTTTCTGTTTTGTTTTTTGAGACAGGGTCACACTCTATAGTTCAGGCTGGTTTTGAACTCACTATGTACCCCCGCTTGGCCTTCAACTTGTGGCCATTCTCCTGCCTCAGCCTCCCAAGGGCTACAATTACAGGTCTGGTGTCACCACACGCAGATGCAATTAACAGGCCTCCAGTGCTGGAGAGACTGAGATAGGCTTGGAGCCCAGCTGGGGCAGTTTAATGACTTTAGGGAGACCACATCTCAAAAGAAAAAAAATTTGGAGGCCAGGGATATAGCTCAGCAGCACTGTGCCTGCCTGGCAAGTGTAAGGTCATGAGTTTGATACTTGGTACCAAAAAAAAAAAAAAGAAAGAAAGAAAGAATGTTAAAAAATGAGGTATCAGGCCTGGAGTCTCTCTTCCCAATCATTCTTCTGACCCATCATCTCTTGGGTCTCTTTAGGCGTGAGCTGTGTGCTGTGGCCCCTGGGGCTCTGCCTGCAGGCCAAGGTCGGCTCTGGTAGGAGGAGGTGGCAGCGCCCGGCCTTCCTCTCCCAGGCATTCATTCTCCAGCAGCTAAACAGCGGAAGTGGGGCCGGGCCTGTTTTCCAGGCGAGGCTCTTTGAGTCCTGAGCCGCAGAGGACAGGAAATGGGCTCCTGCGGGGGAAGCCAGGCAGGCGGGAGGCAGCGGTAGAGACATGGCCATCCTGGGCTTGGACCCTGGGAGCTGTCAGTGACAGCTCGGCTTTCTGGCTGGGGCAGGGAGGACTGGAAGGGGAAGGTGCCCAGAGCCGGGGAGGATGCCCTTGGCTGTTCTTAGGACAGCGCTGGCCCGCACTGGGGACCCCGCAGGATCCACCAGGCACACACAGGAAAAGGAATCTGGGTAAGAGAATTATTCTGGGCTTTGCTGAGGCCCCAGAGCGGGAAATGTTCTACTTTCCCTGGCCCAGATGGGCACGTGGGAACTGAAGGAGAAGTGGACCAGGTCGCAGAAGACCCAATATACGCCCTGGACATCCCATGCTCCCAAAACCTCCGGCCCCTTCCTTGGCCTGACCTTCAGGGCTTCTCTTACTTTCTTGGCTCTTGGTGAGGGCTTCCCTGCAGAGATTTTCTTTCCACTGACACCAAGCTGGACTGCTTTGTTGTAGGTATTCAATAAACATTTCTTCTTTTTTCTCTCTCTTTCTCTCTCTTTCTCTGTTCACACTGAGCAACAGCCCCAGTCTTTCATATTTTTTATTTTGCCAAAAGGTGTCTCTGATTCATTAACTAGCCTAGGGTTAGGCTAGAATTTTCGAACCTCTTACCTCAGCCTCCCAACTACTGGGATTACAGGTACACACTATCACACCTAGGAGAACTGTCATCTTTTTTTTTTTTTTTTTCCATTTTTATCGGTACCGGGGATCGAACTCATGACCGCTTGCTTGCAAGGCAGGTGCTTATGCCGCTGAGCTAAATCCCCAGCCCCTAGAACTGTCATCTTTTAAACTCCAGCTCAGGTTAGCAGAGCTGGGGAGATGGGAAGGGACACAGAGACCAGCAATTCACATCCCAGCCTGCTGTGTGGCTCTGGCTAGTCACTAACCTGTCTGGTCAACCATCACAAAGGACTTGTAAGATTTCCTGTATTTCGGTTTCACTCGAATTTCTTCCCTTATCTCCAGGTTTTCATTCATTCATGACAAATGTTTTATAAATACCTAAATGTTAAATACTGAGTCAACGTTTCTCCCCCACTGACACTTTTGTCCCCAGGAATACTCTAATGTTTTATTTGTACACACCGGTCTTAGCTCCTTACAAGATTTTTTTCTCCTTTTCAGTATTGGCAAAGGATGCCAGGGCCTCGAGAATCCTAGGAGCTCTATCACTAAGCTACGTCTCCAGCGCTCTTGAAAACCAGAGGACTCTGAGATAAGGGTCTTGCTCAATAGCCCAGGCTGGTCTTAAACTTGTCACCCTTCTGCTTCAGACTCCTGATTCCAGGACTGTGCCACCAAGCCTGCTCACTTACAAGGTTTTTGGAATCCTACTTCATCCTGGATCAGCGCTGTGGATGCGAGTATGTGTTCTATGATTCCTGTGGACTCGGAAATGGGTTGAATATGAGTCCAAAGCACTGATGGGGAAGGAAACTGATTTCTTGTCTGTGCAAGTGGCTGAGGTCTCTCTCCAGTGGCTAAGCCCATCATCCAGGCACCCGCTGTAGCCCGCTGATTACTGCCCTGCCCAGCTGCTGGGCCTCTGCCCCCTCCTCAGGGGACAGATGTGCCTGGGTGGGGCTGCAGGTGCTTCTGGCCAGTGACAGATGGAAATCAGGTCAGGCCCCTCCTGGTGACCTCATTGAGGCCTGAGCAAGAGGAATCTTGCTCAGAGGGCTGGGGACGCTCTTGCTGTAGGACAGAAGGACACAGGTCTATCACAGGCAGCTCAGCAATCAAATCAGTTTCTCGGAAGTTGCCCTTTGGCACCTACCAGGCCCCAGCCCCAGCCTGGACTGTACCAAGCCCTAGAGCCAGACCTGCAGAGTTATAAATCCTGACAGTATCAGGAGTGGTGTCGAATGCCTCTAAATTTCAGCACTCAAGAGGCTGAGGCAGGAGGGTCACCATGAGTGTGTGGCCAGCTGGGGCTACATAGTGAATACACAGCCCAAAGGAAAGTTCCCTCAGGATAAAAGGCCAGGTCCCTGGAAGCCGAGGGGTTGAAAGGGCTTTGGAGTGACACAGATCTGAGACTGGACTGGAACTTTCCTGCTGCCTGGCTATCACCAGGGATAACACCCCCCATACCCCAGGGAACTCCTTCCAATACCCTGATCCCCTGGCTATCCCCGATCCCTGCTCCCTGCCTGAACACACAAAAGGCTCATGCAGGTGGAGGATGGGGCTGCAGGGCACATCCTGAGCCGCAGCTGGGCAGCCTCTGGGCTTGGGATCCATGCATGCACAGTGCCTTTAGCACATCTTGGCCGCCTCGGCATTGCCCTGCCCAGCCTTTGACTCACTGGGTCCCGAGGGAAGGAAGGAGTTCCGGGCACGGCCTGGCCCCACCCTTGCAAAGGAAGGAGAGTGGACAGACCCCCGCTTCCAGCTTCCTCTGCAGGCACCCCCCACCTGCCCGCCCCCATGCCTCACTCAGCTCTCTGCCCCCAGCTTTTGCATTTTTAATTCGGGACAGAATGTGATCTTTTGCAGCTCCTTGCTTTATCCTGTTGCTATTTAAATTACAAATCGGCCCATCTCCCTGTCACTCTTGGGTTATTTTTAGCTTCTGGTAAATAGCAGCAGAGAGAGTAGGATCAGGTGCCCCTCCCTTGAGGAGCTGTGTCCCTGCAGCAGCCGCCACCACCCGTGCAGCAGCTGGGGGCACCCTCCCTGCCACATGCCCTCTGCGGGGGGGGGGGCAGGGGAGGACTGTGTGTCGGGCCAACTTTGCTTTCATCTCCTAAGCTTTGTCACCACCAGGTCCTACTACCCGTCCGCTGCTCAGGGCCAGCCCCTCTTGGATCCTTTCTGAATGTCCCCATGCCATCCTCTGATCAAAAGATCAAACTTGTGTTTCACCCCGCTTTTTTTTTTTTTTGAGACAGGGCTTCCTACCTAGCCCAGACTGGCCTTGACTACCAAGAGATCCTCCAGCCTCAGCTTCCCAAGTACAGGGAGGGGCAGGACTACAATTCGAATTCAAGACCCAGAGAACCATAAAAACCTGTGCGCTTGGGCACCAATGCAGGTGTTTGTCTTGAGAGACATGAGTATCATTGTGCTGCTCCACGCTTGGGGAGGGTTCCCAATGCCACCAAAAGTTTGTCTCCCCATGTGTATCCTGTCCTATCTTCTGCATCAGAGCTTGGCAAACACTAGCTCTGGGGCCACATCTGGCTTGCTGCCTGTTTTTGTAGGACCTGGGAGCTGTGAATGGTTTTACATTTTGAAACCACTGGCATAAAGCAAAGGAGTCACACTCTGTGGCAATGAAAGGCAGTGTCAGGTTCAGGGTCCACAGGTCAAGTTTTGCAGGAACTCAGACATGATTTGCTCATGGTCTCTGCCTGTTTTCACCCCTGGCCAAGCCTGTAAGGTGAGACAGGGACCACATGACTTGCAAAGCATAAAATGTTTATTGTCGGGGCTGGGGATTTAGCTCAGCAGCATAAGCACCTGCCTTGCAAGCAGGCGGTCGTGAGTTCGATCCCCGGTACCAATTAAAAAAAAAAGTTTGCCATCTAGCCCTGGCTGGGCTCGTGCTTTCGTCAAGGGGAAAACTCAGAAAGGCTTCTGGGGCCCCAGGGAAGCCCCCCACCGTTTATCTCCTTTCTCTCATTCAGAACCTTTCTTTCTCCCCATTGGCTTTTTCACAGGTGAAACCAGTGGTTTCCACACTTGCTTAGTATCCAAGTTACATGGGAGAGGCTTTCAGAGTTGAGGTCCAGCCTAACCTTGGCCAGGCTACCTGCAGTAGGACCTCTGGGCAGACAGCTTAAGTCTTTTTTGTTCGTTTTGGTTTTTTTGAGACGAGTTTCACTATGCAGCCCATGCTGGCCTCCAACTCCCAGTGATCCTCCTGCCTCAGCCTCCTGAGTGCTGATGTTACAGGAATGTGTCACTACACTGGACTTCCACAGGTCCCTTGAATGTGACACTGATAGACGGAGACTTGAGTATTTGGGGATCACCTCCCACCCCAAATTAGACACAGAATCGAGGGGTCCAACCCTTTATTTTGACGCCTGGAACCAGGTCCCACTTAAACAAATACCACCCTCCCCTCCCCATCTCCTCGCCTTCTCTGGCCCTAGTTCAGCCTCCTGCTGCCCCTGCCCCTAGGTGTCTGCGGGCACAAATCTGCCATCCCCCTCTTCCGGAAGCATTTGCTGGTGCTGTTCCCCGCTTTTGCTGGCACCAGGAGAACTATTTCTCGGGAGCCCTCACCCCCTTAGAAGCTCCTGCTGTCCTGCCAAGGTCCCCATGGTCCTCACTGACGTCAGAGGCGGCCCAGCCTCACCCCGCTTCCGCTCCCACTCCTCGCCCACAGAGTTTTGTGCCCCCACGTGGCCGCCTAAAAGCCTTTTCTCTCTCTGAAGGGCTTTCAGCTGCTTTTCTTAGCAACTCCTCGCAGCGGGGTGGGAGGTTGAGCTGAGAGCCAGAGCTGCCTGGAACAGGCAGGCAGGCGGAGGATGGGAAAAGGGCACCGTGGCCTGAGCTCCTGCAGTCCGCATGAGGCCTGGACAAGGAGCAGCGCTTGGCGGGGGTGCATCGGGACAGAGAGCACGGCCTGTCCTGCTGGGGACCTGGCACCCAGAGGGCTCTTGCCTGTCCGCCACTCAGGACTCCCCTAGATGCCTGTGCAGCTATGGTGCTGAGACAGGGGCCCTGGTCCTTCCAAGTGTGTGAGCAGTGGTGGTGACCTCCTTCGCCTGCCCGGAACTGGAGTCCTGGCACAGGTGACCTGGTTCTTGTCATGGTCAGAAAAGGGCCACCACTTGGTTTGCTAGTGTGCACCTTTGGGGATGAGCCACCTCAAATCAGGAAAACCTGGGGATCCCTGTCCTTGTGGCTGCTTCTATGTGTGTGTGTGTGTGTGTGGGTGCATGCACACACGTGCTTGTGCACATGCTTGCACAAAACTCTTTCCACACGCCTTTAGTGACTTCTGCTCCTGGCTCTCCTAGCTTTTTCTTTGGTCTTTTCTTTGGTCTTTTTGAGACAGGGTCTCAGTATGCAGCTCAGGCTGACCTTGAGCTCACTTTGTGGCCCAGGCTGGTCCTGAACTTGCAACGATCCGCCTGCCTCAGCCTCCCAAATGCTGGGATTATAGGCGTGAGCCAGCATGCCCAGCTTCTCCTGGCTTCTAACCCTCTCCCCACCTCCTCTCCAGCTGTAGACCCATGGAGGATCTTAGGTCAGTCCCTCATGTTGTAAGAAGAACTGAAGTCCAGGAGGGATCCTGGCCTACTCAAGGACACACAGCAAGTCACTGGCACAAGCGAGCACCTGAACCAGACCTCCCAACTCCCAGACTCCAACTTCTTCCAGGATTCTGCATTCTCCGCCTGCTTCCCTGCCAGTCCCTCTGCCCACTTTCCTCTCCCTTGGCTGGAGGCCTGGGATGTGCATACTCTATGGGAGAGCCCCGTGATGGAGCTCGGTGTACCAGGATCCCATAGTGTGGAGGCTGGGTCCACGGGCCCTTGACCTGTCTCCCTTGCATCGTGAGCTTCACACTGTGTGCTGGTGGCCAAGTCCCCTGTCCGACTACCCCGATCCATCAAGGCCTAACGGCCACAGAGCCAGGACAAAGATCCTGACCTTTAAACTCCCTGAGCTGGGCCCTAGGAACCAGGGCAGCTCGGATGCACCCAGCCCCCTAGGCTGTAGAGCTGTGGAACCTGACCACTCCAACCATGCTGAGGAGTTTAAAGACTGGCGATGCCCCAGGGTGCCCACCTAGGCCTCCCAAGGGTGGTCACTCTGTGCCAAAGCCTCAGAGGGCAAGAGAGTCCAAGAGGTCTGAGAGGACAGGAGGGAGGCAGGGGCTGTGTTACTCCTCTCCATGCCTCTCTGGGAGCACTCCAGTTCTGGGTGTCACCTTGCCTCAAGGACACCCCACCTGGGTCCCGAAAAGGGTCTTAGGACCCAACTCCAGCTGGACCTTCTCCCAGGGGCTCTTGGAGCATAGGTGGCCGGAGAAGATAGGCTTAGAGCTCATTAAGAAGATGTTGGGGCAGCTGGATGTGGTGCTGCACACCTGTTATTCCAGCACTCAGGAGGCTGAGTCAGGAGGATTGCTTTGAGTTTGAGGCCAGCCTGGGCTACATAGTGAATTCATGGCCAGCCTGAACTACATAGTGGGATCCCGTTCCTCCACCTCAAAAAAAGTTGAGAGGCGCAGGGATGTCCCTTTCCTTGCCACCCTGGCTGCCAGTGAGCGCCCACTATGGCACATGGAGACAGGAGTAGTAGCAGGTGCCACTCCCCTCCTGGACAGCAGGCAGGATGTCACCCCAAAGCCAGTGCCCATCCTAGGGCAGCCCATAGGGGAGCTGGGTAGGGCTGTTGACTGAACCCGCATCCCTCTTCCTGGCCTTTCCCCACCGAGAGGGCTGTCAGGCCATGTCTGGGCTCTGTCCCCGGCCG